AAAAAGAGCCACGTATCATCATCATCATTATCACAGAAGGGGACAGGAGGAAACTCTGGGAGATGATGATGGGTTTGATGGTAATGTTGGTTTCACAGGCACGTATTTATCTGCAAATTCATTGCGATATATACATTAAATATGAATAGCTTTTCATGTCAATCATACCTCAATAAAAGTGGTTTTAAACTTTTTTTTAAGACTTCAGTATTAAATTATCATTGAAAACTCCCCTGACCCTTTCAATCTCTGCACTCCTAGGCTTTAGTCAGCATTCTTCAACACTTAATTTCTGTTGCCACTGCAAGCTTCTTTTCCCAGTAGACACTGGGTCATAATAATAATCGTATTATAGGCCGGGCGTGATGGCTCATGCCTGTAATCCCAGCACTTTGGGAGGCTGAGGCCGCTGGATCACACGGTCAGCAGTTCAAGACCATCCTGGCCAACATCGTCTCTACTAAAAATACAAAAATTAGCTGGGTGTGGTGGTACGTGCCTGTCATCCCAGCTACTCAGAAGGCTGAGGCATGAGAATCGCTTGAACCCAGGAGGCAGAGGTTGCAGTGAGCCGAGATCGCGACACCACACTCCAGCCTGGGCAACAGAAGGAGACTCTGTCTCAAAATAATAATAATAATAGTATTATCATACACTAATCCAGTGTTTATTGGTTACTCTTCCAATCATTTATCTTGTATTGACCTTTAATTTTCCCAAAAATCATCCACTCTACTTTTTTTCACAATTTACAAATGAAGAAACTGAGACACAAAGAAGATGAAATAACTTTCCCAAGGTGACACATCTAGTAATAACAGAGACAGAACTGCAAACAACAGTGGTCTGGATCCGTAGTCTGCGCTCTTAACAACTATTCTATACAGAACAGCCTCTCTACACAAAGTGTTGTGTGCTTGGCTGCAATCTCTGCCTAACTTCATTTTAAAGTGTGCCAAATGCATTTGTCTAAAGAATGCATTTTAAGTTGTAATAAATCAATGAAAAGCTAACAAGGATTCAAGATATGTACTATATGACCGAATTTTAAAAGGAATTAAGAATTAAAAACTGTAGAAAGCGGTTAAAAAAACAACTGCAGAAAGGACAGAAAGAGGGAGGGAAGGAAGAAGGGAAAAGAAGGATAGGACACAGAAAAGAAGGTAGAAAGAAAAAAAAAATTGGTTTCAAAGTCACAA